AGTAAGAGATATTCTGATGGAAGAAGCTCACAAGACCATGTACTCGATTCATCCCGGCAGTACAAAAATGTATAGGGATTTAAAACCCGATTACTGGTGGCCAATGATGAAGCTCGATGTTGATAAGTATGTGGCCGAGTGTGTGACATGTGCAAGACTCAAGGCACATCATCAGAAACCGAATGGGAGTTTAGAACCTTTACCTGTACCCATGGGTAAATGAGAAGACATCACCATGGATTTTGTGACTAAACTACCAAGAACAAAGATCGGTCACGACATGATTTGGGTGGTCGTGGATCATTTCACCAAGAGTGCACACTTCATAGCAACCAATGAAAAATGGTTTATGGATAAGCTTGTGAATGCTTGCGTGAAGGAAATTATGACACTTCACGGTGTTCCTCTAACAATTGTATCAGATCGTGATAGTCTTTTCACGTCACGATTTTGGAAAAGTCTACAAGAGGAAATGGGTACCAAGCTGTGTTTAAGTACAGCTTACCATCCACAAACTGATGGTCAGAGCGAAAGAACAATACAAACACTTGAAGATATGCTGAGAGCATGTACCTTGGAATTCCAAGGTAACGGGGATGAACATTTACCTTTAGTAGAATTTTCATACAACAATAGTTTCTACTAGAGCATAAAGATGGCACCTTAACACGCTTTGTATGGATAGAAGTGTCATACGCCGTCTTGCTGGCTTGAAGCTGGAGAAAAGCAATTTATAGGACCTGAGATAGTCCATCAGACTGCTGAAAAGTTGAATGTGATTAGGGAACAGATGTTAGCAACTCAGGATCATCAAAAGAGTTATGCTTACAAGAAAAGAAAACCGATAACATTCGAAGTTGGTGATTCGGTTTGGCTTAAAGTCTCACCGTGGAAGGAACGTATAAGATTTGGTAAAAGAAGAAAGTTGAGTCCAAGGTTTATTGGACCATTTAAATTTCTTCAGAGGATTAGGAATCAAGCTTACAAGCTAGAACTACCAGAAGAACTAGATGGTATTCGTAACACTTTCCATGTGTGTTATTTAACAAAGTTAACGGGAGATGTCCCCAACATAATTCCAATATATGAGTTAAGGCTGGATGAAAGCAAGAGGTTAATCGAAGAACTAGAGGCAATCGTTGACCGTAAGACTAAAAAGCTGCGACGCAAGATGGTTGATTTAGTGCTTGTGCAATGGAAACATACAAATGGGCCAAATCTCACCTGGGAAACGCAGAGTAACATGATGAGTCGCTACCCGCATTTGTTTGTTGATGTCTGATTCTGGGGATGGAATCATCCTAAGGGGGAGAGAATTGTAACGCCTGTGTTTTTGGGCTAAAAGCATTAATAATGTTCTAATAGTTTAGGTCAACCTTTGTAACTCATTTTGAAGTAATAAAGAGGAATTATGTGAATATCATGTGAATTATATGCTTATTTGCTTAATTATTATGATTTAATTAATTAATAATGAAAATAAGCATTGAAAATAATTATTAGAAAAATCCGATATCTTTTAAAGTTGTAGTGGCCGAAACCAGGATTCCAGAGATATAAAGAACGTCGAAATCCGAGTTATAATGAAGAAGTTATGACCCGTCAAAGTTTCGCGACGGAACCGGCACGGCACCGGGAAGCGTAAAAAGTGAATTTACGATAAATTGCTTTTTAGCCTTAACAATCTAAGCAAAAGTCGTAGTATTCGTTAAGCCGAGAATTTTGATACAAAGAACGTCCAAATCTGACTTCGTATGAGGAAGTTATGATTTTTCTAGGATTTAGCTTAGCAGTAGACAGCTAAGTACTCGAATTTAAGATCGAGCGATATTTAGCCGATACAACCTAAACGAGAATCGAAGGTCTCATCAATAGTAGTAAAACGGTAAAAAGACTGACGAAAACGGATGTCAGATGAAGAAGTTATGAATTTTTAACAGATTTTCCTATCCCGGTCTGTTAAAAATAATAATATTAAAATTAAATTCAAAATTAGCCGACGAAGTCTAAACGAAAGTTGTAGAATATATTCCCGCCCACGCGTGCAAATAAAGAACGTCTAAAATGGAGCTCGTGTGCAAATTTTATGAATTTTAGAAGTTTTTGGTGCAAAATCCGAGGAATTTCCCATGCATGGCTTGGATTTGGCCACGTACACGCCTCACATGCATGACGCGTGTTGGATTGTAATATGATCGAAGGGAGGTCCAGCCGTGTCGCATCTGTGGAAGAGTCCGAAGCGGCCACGTCTCGCCTACCAGCCTCCGATGCGCCCTTCACATCCGAACCTCGCACGAGCAGCGTGGCCTTCGCACCTGCTGCCACCTGCCCTCGCTGCTGCCACGCGCCTCGCCCCTTAGCAGCCACGTCTTCCCATCGTGAACGAGCCTCGCAGCTGCTACGTGGAGCTTCCTTAGCCATTCAAACCTCACTCTCGCACCCTATCAATAAGGGGGCTGCGAGATCTCCCAGCTACTTTTGGAAAATTGACATTTTTCACCGCTAAACTTATATTTTGACTATTTTTGATGTGCCCATAAGCCTTGGTATGATTTTTAAAGCCCGGAATACGTCCCTAAGTGCTCGAAGACCTGGAAAATTTTATCTTTTTGGTTTTGAAGCTCCAACCCTCGCAGAGCCTGATCTCTCAATAAAACTCCTGGTTTTATCAAAAACAATCATTTTAGGAAACGAATTGTTGCCCAATTATCATCAAATCAAGTGAGTGTATAGTCACTTTTATCTTACACATAGATATGAAGTATTTTATATAAATATGTGCTATGTGTGTGTGTGTGTGTATATATATATATATATATATATATATATTGATTGTTTATTTGAGATGATTGTTGAATATAATGTTTTATACAAGTTATAAACTGTATATATGTATTTTATCTACAAATATGTTGGGTAAAACATGGGTACACAAAATAGTTGATGTGTTTTAAAATGATGAGAGGCCTCGATGTTGTTGTTGTTCCAGTCATCTAGCGGAGTATGGATGACGACCACAGACTCTTCTAGACATTCTAGTGGAACGCTAGCAGGCTCGCAACATGTAGGTGTTTGTGGGCTTAATGTTCACCGGTGTACTCCATCCCCCTCATGGTTGCCTTACGGACATATATGGCTGAGCAATCCTCTTAGCAGTAAAGCCCATCCCGATGATAAAATCCTTAGACTAGGTCCCTTGTATAGGTGTTTAGGGACGTAAAGTGAGGATAACGGGAATGGGTAATCAGGGTTATTGTTGGTTTGATAAAACTAATAAATTTATTGTAGATCGATGAAATTAATAAATTTATTATTATTTGTGGGTTGAAAACCCTATATGCTCACCAGGCTCCCAAGCCTGACCCACTCAGCTTTCTGTTTTACAGGTAGTGGACCCAGAGCATAATTTGGATGATGATGGCGGATTTTTGGATTATAGGACAGTAGTTGTAAATAACTATTGTAAGGCTTATAATGCACTGTTTATACTTTTGATATGTATCAAATATGACATCCCAAGTCTTTTTAATGAAATACATTTCTACGGAAATGCTTTGATAAATCTTTATCATAGTTATATTTTGGAAACAAATTCCGCAACACTTTTATGTAAAATATTACTCTGATTTTCAAACAAGGATAAAGAAAATCGGTCTTTTTTTGCCGTGAAATTGGGGATGTCACAATGTTGCTCTTGATAGAGCTACATATAGTTGACCATGGGAGAAAACAGGTTGGGACAAATAAATACCAATTTTTTTAACGACTGCCCTTCACTTTTGTTATAGTTATGGCATAACAAACTATTATCAGAAAGTTTTCAGTATATGAGGTGGTATGCCTGTAAAACTTAGTTGGTTTAGGTATTATACCAGATACGGTCCTTTAATTCTAATGTATGCTTCACATTTGGTTGAAGGCTGTCACTACTAATGTAGACCCTTTCATCACCACTTATCGTATATGTAATGAGGTTATAAACCTTGCCAAAAGGGTCATTGGTAGGACAAAAATTTGCTGTAGCTGACAGATCAATAAGTGATGAGTTATGTAGCAGCTCATTTGTATAAACAAAATGTATAGGATCATGAAGTGAATTTTTTCCTATAGGTATTAATAATGGTTCTGGTATCTATACCCATTTTGTGTTTTCTGGATCATCTAAATCTGGTATACCTAATTTTCCATTTCCAATATCTAGTATCCACTATGCAAAAGTTGATGTTGGCAATGTATCACCTGTTTCACGGTCTGATCTCACTAACCTAATATTATGTCGTAGCTTATATATCTTAAAATTAGGCGACAAATCTGAATTTGGCTCGGTCAGAGCAATAGTTTGAGCACATGTACTTTTTGGGCAGACTGGAAGTTTTGTCGAAAATCACCACCACAAAGTATTGAAGCTCCTCCAAATGGCTTTGTTTCACAATCAAGTACATCTTTTAGAGATCGATCTAAATATTCAAATCAACGTCGATCACTCATAGACGCTTCATCCCGTATGATGATTGATGTTTCTTTTAGAAAAATTACAAGTAATGTTTTCTTCTTTATGTTGCAAGACGTTGTTTCTGTCATATTTGTAGGAATCTTAAATGTATAGTGCGTAATTCTTCTAGAAAGTAATAGAAGAGATGCTATTCCATAGGCACCAATGGACAAACTCACATTCCCATGTGATCTGAAGTAGTGTTGTCCATAGAAACATCTTTTAGGTCCCACCGTGAACATAAACAAATATTAAGACCTATTCTTTTTTTTTTTTTTTTGTTCTGAAGAAACACAGTCTCAAAAATAGTTCTTTAATCATCATTTAAGTGACAAATCATTTATGAGCGTTCTCTTCTTAAAGAATCATTATCCTAACATGTTTCTTTAAACAGGAGATGATTTTTTAAAATAGCAAAGGCAGAGGCAGACGACATGGGCATATTGAAATCAGTTAAAGATTTCGAAGGAGTGCAAGACTGGAGCATGTTTTCTGATTCAAACAACTACTATTGCTGAACAACCTCATCATCTATATGGAAATGTTTTCCTGGGAATTCAATTCTCATGTTATGAATATAGTCATTGGTTATTTTATGCCATGCAATTTCCCATAAGGAAAGTGAGTTACTAACCTCACAAAATAAAAATAGATGACAAAATAGAGACCGGAGCTGAAATGATGTTGCCCCTGATGATACCTTTGTGAAAGTAGTCATCCATTCAATGGCATTACCTATTAGTCCTAACACATTACATGCGCTTCTAAAAGTCCGATGGAGAGAACCAACAATTGTATGAACATCTTCATAAGATTTGCACCCTTTTTGATACGAAAGCAACATACGAAGGTAGAATAGTTCACCAGAAGATGGATGCATAAACACTGGCCTGCCAATTGTTTTTGAAGATTCTAAAACCCTATGGCCCCATTATTTATACTTATTGTCCCATTTGTACTCATTTGAGTAATCAATATAAGTAAGATCACTACCTTTTGGATCCCTAGCGTTACCATCAAACCATCCATTTAAAGGTGTTTTTCCAAAACATGGATTTGCAAGTACCTGATCTATCTTACTATCTTACTTAAAAACAACATGTTGCATATGTTGTAGATGGATAGGCAATGTTTCTACTGATGGGTGACGACGATGAATATAAAAATATAGAATGAGCCACGCTGCCTCGTGAGGACAGATGTAACGACCATCAGTAAAGTTTAGTATTTCATTTATTGGTTGTGTCTCTATATTTGTACCAATAGCATCAGTCGACTCACATTTTCGGATTCTAAATCTAACACGATCAACGCATTTTTGAATAGTATTTGAGTAGGTCCTTAATCATCATGTTTCAGCCACAGTACTCAACATACCCATTATCAACAATAGTACCGCTTTGCATCATGTGACGCGTACATGCATTCCTTTTGTAGTGAGGGTAACCTTCTTTATCAAAGATAGTGTATTCTTGAAATGGATTTGCAAAGCGCTTACTATATTTTCCATCTTTCATACATGGAGAGTCTTTGTTTAGCAGTTCGCAAGTCCCATGTAGTGTACATGTGGTCAACGTTCAATAGAATGTTTGCTTCCAAAATTGGATCCGAAAACTCTATTGTTATGTTTCTATCAATATTAACAATTGTTTTGACTTTTTCCAAAGATGCCACCCACAGTAATGTATGACAACGCGAAAGCCCTATTTTCTGAAACTCGATAGTATAGAGATCTGCAACACATGAACAAAATTCAGACAAAAAAAATCAACGTATAACCATAGATAAAAAATATAAACATAATAGAAGGTGTGCATACATATGTCAACTTCACCGAATGTTTTATCCTCTTTTAGAAACTTGATAAAAGAATCAACATTTATTTCAAACACTCTAGCTATGATATCATCCCTTCTATTAGTATCATGCTGACCATGAATATCCACATAACAAACTATTCCAGGCCATTTTACATTACATGTAAACATAATGAAATAGTCTGGATTACAATACACTCTACAAATTGAAAGGGAATCTTCGTAATAGCTATACATATATCGAGGACCGCCTGTAAACGATGTAGGTAGAAAGACACGCTTACCAACAACACGGTTATCTTTGTCCCCATTTGAAAGAGCATCATAAGGACCAATAATATAGTATGAACGTAACTGGGCGTAATGATAAAAAAAATATAGTTTAAACAACCCTCCTCAACACAGGTATATGCATCAACCCAATATTGTTGGAACAGACGACAAGACTGTAATAATAGAAAATAAATTCGTTGACGGGCATGAATAAAGTAAGCATAATACATATTAATCGTGAGTCCTTTTGCATGCTACCCAATTCATTATCCAACTTCAAACGCAGAGACCATCCGTCCTCACCGAACGGAAAAAGCAATAGATATTGTAAAGACATATAAGCATGATGAAGCTTACTAACTCGCTAAGGCTAACCCGATTTAGAATAAACAATAATATCATACGTGCTACAATTACTATCATCCCCAGTAACTATATATCCTAAAGAACCAGGAACTTGCAGAACGTATCTATGATCAGGTACATCGCTATAGAAATGAACAAAACATGAATCAATGTTCATAGTGGCTGCTATTTCTTTAGCTGTTTTAAAAGTGCGAACATATTCATTGTGGGTCGTTAGGCATTGCATAAGAAGATGAATAATACTAGAATTGAGTTCTCTTATGGGAGTCAAATATATTCGTTCTATTATGAACTTCATTGTCATTGTCGAAGATATAAAACTATAAGAACCTAGGTCTGTGCACATCTTGCAGACCCATAGAACCAATCCAATGATAAACCTGACCTGAAATTTTATACACATACGGACCTCGCCATTGTTGATCTCTTCATCAACATTTTCTCCGAAATAGGTCATTGAAAACATATTGTTATACACTCTAATGTCATTCAAAAAACCTTTATTCATATAAAGATCATAAATTTCAATAGGCAGTGTATGAGGATAAGCAAGCACAACAGACCCAGACTTATAACAACGATTATACCTAGGATGGTCAACACTTGACAAATTGACAATCCTTTCAATGTACCAAAAGAAGGCTCCACAGAACTCGCAAACACAATCACAATATCCACAATTGTAAGAAGCAAGCAACACAGAAGCATCACCGCCACTAACCATATGTTTACGACATGAATTTCTGCTAACAAACGCAGATGTGCAAGCAAACGAAGAACAATCAGGAAGTTTATGCATAGGTTATTTACCCATGTATAGGATTCAGTAAGCAAAAAATATCATAGAACCATTAAAAACGTAAAGAAATCGTATTAGAACCGAATAAAAAAAGGGCAAAGATTTACATGTTTCCAATAAACGAAGCACAAAATAGAAGAAGAAAGACCAAACAGAACAAAAGATGAAGTAAGGATGAGTGGGCCCGAAAATAAACGAAAAAAAAAAAGCTTATGTACTGAATGGCACAAGAACCAAAGGTGGTAGACATTGACAAAATCCAAACAACGAAGCAAAGGACCTAAAAACCTCTAAAAAATAGCATTGCTAAAGCAGGCCTGACCTTAAGTGTAGATAAACAAATATATGGGTTAGGGCCCCCACTTTTAATGTGCCCTAGTTAAACCCAGTTTCCGATTACCTCGTCCATATTCCATTTGGTTGTTCTCAAAAAAAAAAAAAAAATCAAATTCCCTACACGCCTTTTCCGAGAATCGTCGCACGCCTAACCTTCAAAAGAAGTTCTATTCTTCTTATTGTACAAGCGACGATTACCGATCTTCTTCTTCCTTCTCCATTCTCGGCTTGAGCACTCTTGAGTCACCCTTGAAATACACATTTTGTTCTTCTTCTTCTTCCTTCTCCATTCTCGACTTCTTCATTCTCCATTAAAGGTTGTCACAGTATCACTGAAACGGTAATATATTTGCTGTTTTTTCACTTTTCACTTTTTATTTTTCCATTATTTGTCATGTTGTCATCTGATTATCTAATTAGGGTTAATATTTAAAGTTGATTAGTGTTATTGGCTTTGGTTTGTGGAATTAGAATAGAATCTGAATTTTTTTTTTTCAATCAATATTATGTTTATTTTAAAAATCCCGATTGAAGGTAGATTGATAGTGACCATGTGCAATCAAAATCGTTTCTAAGTTGTCTAACTATACAACATCTCTTGTTCTTTAGCAGATTCAAATGAGAATGAATCTTTCTTGTTCTGATTTTTTATTCCATGGGTTAATACTTTTCAGTTCTTATTTTTTTTTTTTCAATTATCTGATTGTTTTATTCCATTGTTCACTGATTACAACATATTACAATACAATTAGTGAACCAAGTTGAATTGTTGGAAAAAATTAGAGTTTTTAGTTTTCCAGATTTAACAAAAGGTTCTAAATTTTTGGTTTGCTTAGAGCCCTAAACCAGCTGAGAAGGTCTTGGGCTAAAGTTAAATAAAAGGAAGTTTTGTGAAAGAAGTAACATAATAAAAAAAATAATAAATAAATAAATAATAAAAAAACTTTACTATTGGTAACGTTCCTTAAAATTAACTTTATATAGAGTAACTTAACGGATCTTGTAGAAAAACATAAATTCATATATAATTTTTATAATGGGAAAAGCAAAAAAAACCACATGGAAGTACGCTAGCAATAACATGTTCATGTCTTTTTGTTTACCTATCAATTACAAGTAACCAATTAAGCGCACAATGGACCCAAAGAACGTTGGACTTATTTGAATTGCGTTCCTCATACTTTATATTTGTGACATGAAATGACTTTTGAGTTCGATTACATTCACGTTCGTGTTGCTTTTTGATATATTGTTATCATATAACTTTAACAATAATCAATATCCAGACTGATTTTTAAAATTTTCTTTTTAAGAATTGCCTAAGAAGATAATTTAATTTTTAATCTATAAATAACCCGTATTTAGAGGTGGAGCATACTTTATGTTTAAACCCCAAATGATTTGCTTTTTACTTTATTATATATTATCTATTACTCTTTTCTACTAGTGGATGCATGACCTTTCGGGATGGTACTGATAACACTTAAATTTTACCGTAAAATTTAAAATTTAAGGTAATTAATAAAAACCGTGACATTTCAATCAACAATATGTAAGAAATTCATCACAAATCTATCGAAAACTCATTATGATTTTGTTGGAAATCCATCACAAAAGTCCTAATAATTTTAACATTAATATAAATATGTTGGTGTAACATTTTTAGTGACCGGTTGTGACAGAAACTCTTATAAAAATGAGGTTTTTTAACACTAAAATCTTTATAAAGAATATGCGACCTTTGATATTTTTTTTTTCTTGTGCGTCCACCACCTCTCTATTCGTCTTCGTGGCTCATCAAGCATCATGCATGAAAGAAATAATTTATTCTTTATAGTATTTGTTTTCAGATTTAAGATAACTTTAACACTTTTCAATATCCATACAGGTTTTTATTATATTTTTAGTTATCCTAGATACTCCATAAACAACATATGTTTTACTACCACCGCCTCATATTATTGTTTATTTTTAATTTTTGAAGTTATTTTTTTTCAACTTTAATCTTAAATATTTTCGTTTTTGATATATAATATTTTATACAAAATATATATGAATAAATTGTGTTTTAAATATCTTTTCATTATTATAAATTTTATCAAGTAATATATCACATAAATAAAAATATTTAAAGATCAAAACTGAAGAATAAAGACTTTCAAAATCAAAAGTGAAATATAAATATGGGGCCCATAAAGTATTATCAAAAGAGTGCCTAGTCTATCGCTAAGATAACTACTTCGTTTGGTATTTAGGAGGATGTTTTGAATAATAATTACACAAGTGAAATTCAGTCAAATTGTATGAGAGGTTGTGGTATTTAGAATAAACAAGTATAAAATGATAATCAAAGTGATACAAGTGTTTTAGAAGGAAAACCCTTGATCATTGCTAGGATCTCCGACACAAACCACTAGGAGGTGATAATGATCACCTGCCTTGATGATTTTATTAATCGAAGAAGTTGATTAAAGAGATGAATGTGTAAATATAAGTACAAGTATCGTGGATAAGCTAAAAATTGTGTGTGTAGTGTGATGACTACAAGTGTTATTTATAGTCTAATACTAATAACAAAAAGTTCGATAATTCTGAGATCCTCCGAAATTAGCTTATAGATGTTATTTGACTTGGTATTCCGGGTCTTTTGGATGATCAAGATGGTTCTTCGTTGAGAATAAGCCTTTAGCTGACTATTTCTACACATATGAGAAAAATAAAGAAGCAATTAACCATTATAAATCTTAGGAAAATAAATGAAAATAATCAGGTTCCTGAAGTGTGTTTAAGGATCCTGAAGTATGTTTAAAGATCTTGAGGTTTGAGGATCTAGAATGCAATTTTGGGATCCTAGCCTTAACGGTTACCCCCAAATTATTACTACAGATGATTTGAGGTTATTTTATAAATATTTAAATGTATAATTTAAAAAAATATATAAAAAAGAGATAAGATTTTAAATTTTAATGGATAGGGTAATTTGAACTTCAACGGTTAAATTTCTAGACGTTGGAATAGGTCACATCAACCTTTTACCTCTCAGTGATTCCTACATAAATAAAACACCCATACTTTCAGTTCTACATTACTCTTTTAGCTCTCATTTCTGACATTCATTAAATACCATTCGAAGGTACTTTTCTCATTTCTTTTTCTTTTCGTCCCTATTCAGTTTCAATCATTAGCAAGAAAGCCACTCGATCTCGTGCAAACATCATTGCTATAACCGATGATGATTTCACATATCAGAAGATCTTCTCTTATGAGGAAACATATACCTTCACCGACGATGACATTGAGATGTTGAAGTTGTTTGGAACTTTTCCTGCTGGCACCGTCGTTAGGGATTTTGATGTTCGGATTCAGCCTATTTTTGTTTCTTTTACTTGCGGTTGTCGTCATAAGTATCCTTTCACCCTAAGTCTCTCTTACCCCTTCTCCGGAATCATTTTTGAATTTTTTGAGATTACAAAAATCTGGTATATTCAAGTCATGCCAACAATTTGTAAGATCCTCTATTGGATTGATCATTTGAATCGCTCCAGAGATCTTTCCATAGGCATAAATGAGCTAGCCTACATTTATGATCTTACGAATTTTGGAAACTCCCGTTTCCTGTTGAAGGTAAAAAATGATAGATTTCCCCTTGTTTTGAAGTCCAAGCATAACGATGGTGCTTGGAAAGGAAAATACTTTTTTGTGAAACGCGACTGTATTCCTGATGGGAATCTCTTACCTCAGTCCTAGGTTATGTAACACCTATAAAAATCATGAAAAATTTAAACTTTTAAAACCAATCCACAAATCACTATTGTTTACAATATAATTTTCAAAACATGTTTAATATTAGAGTTTTACCATTATCATAAATCAAAACACAAGGAGGTGTATAATCACACCTTCGCCTTCTTGTAGTCATCTGAGGTACCTGAAACACAACCCAAAACTGTAAACCCAAAGCTTAGTGAGTTCCTCCAAAGTACTAACACAGTATATAATCGTAATAATAACAACAAATAGCATGCATACAGAGCCTTTAACTTGAATGGACTGCCTCGTAGGCCTACGGACTATGTGCACCGCTCACAAAACCTTTAGCATGATTGGACCGCCTTACCAAGCCTTCAGCCTATCATGATCGTTCTCAGGGCCATCTGCCTGACTAGTCTGCTCATGAGCCTTTATTCTATTCGGTCCGCCTTAGGTTTCTTGGCCTATAGCACAAACCAATACCGCCTCAACCCAACACACCATCACAAATCAGCATATATCATATCAACCCTAACTAGCATATACAAACAATCATACAAATCTAATAGTTCACTAAGCATAACATCATCATATATACCAGGATACAGATCTAACTGATCACTACAACATACAATCATGCGACAAAATAGGATAACAATCCAAAGGACGGCCTTGGTGCCTTCGACCTAAGAGTACAATGAGGAAAACTTCACCTCGCAAACTGAACAGAAGTTAATGAGGTCTCGACTCCGAGTCTCAACTCTCTAACCAACACCTATTCTCACAAATTGAATAATTCCATAAAAATCCCAAAATACCCTCAAGGTAAAACTTAGTCAAATTCAAATTCAACTATCCTCACTTCATGACCAGGCCTTGGTCAGGTTGTGACAGCGAACCCGATTCGATTCCCA